AACGGGTCATGTACAATTTTTACCATTTCCTCCCCCACAAACCCTTCCCGGGAAGTTTTTTGAATTCCCCAGCCCCTTTTCGTTTTAAAACCCGATTTAAAAAGGGGGGGCCCGGGGTCCCAAAAAACCTCCTCAAATTTTTTTTTTTAAATTTTTTTTTTTTTTTAAATTTTCTTTTTCTTCCCATTTTTCCCTCCCTCCCTCAAATTTAAAGTTTCGGGCTATTTAAGTTAAACCCAAATTTTGGGGGGTTTGGGTTAAAATTCTCACAACCTTTTTAAACTAAAAGAAAAACCCCAGGTTTAAAAACCCACCCAAACAAAAACACGGGGAAAAAAAAAAAGGGGAAAAAAAACGGAAAAAAAAGGGGGGGGGAAAAAGAAAAAAAAGGGGGCCCAAGAAAAAAAGGAAAAAGGGGGAAAAAAAAAAAGGGGAGAAAAAAAAAAAAAAGGGCCCGGGAAAGGGGGGGGAAAGGAAAAAGGGGGAAAAAAAAACCCAACCCAAACCCCCAAGGGAAGGGGGGGCCCCCCCCGAGGGGGGCCCCAAAACCCGCGGGGCCCAAAAACCCGGCCCAAGAAGGCCCAAACCCCCCCGGGAAAAGGGGGACCCAGAAAAAGGAAAAAAAAAAAAAAAGAAAAAGGGGGGGGAAAAGGAAAAAAAAAAAAGGGGGGGAACAGGGGAAGGGAAAAAAAGCCCGGGGAAAAGGGGGGGGAAAAGAAGGGGGGGGAAAAAAGCAAAAAACAAGGGGAGAGAAAAGGGAAAAAAAAAAGGGGCCCCAGCCCACGAAGAAGGAAAAAAGAAAAAAAAGGAAAAAGAAAAAAGGAGAAAAAAAAGAAAACAAAAAAAACCCCCCCCCCAAAAAAAAAAACCCCCCCCCCCCCCTTCCCCCCTACTTACCCCCCCTTTCCCCCTTTCCTATCTGTTTTCAGTGTTCTACGTTTCCATGCTTTATTAACCCCAAATGCATTTCCATGACTTTAGCAGGATGAGTTAAGGACCTACTGAAATTTGGGAACACAAACTGTTGACCCCCAGGAAAAAGCTAGTGTCAGTTGGTCACCCCAAAAAAACCCCAGAGACTCCAGAGGACGCAGATAGCGTTTGCCAGGGCCGGTCAGTCCTTAGTCAATAGACTCTGGTGCGAAGGTAAACCCAACAAAAATGAGCTAACAGGGGAGGCTATGGTGTGTGTGTGTGTGTGTGTGTGTGTGTGTGGTGGGTGGGGACGCCTTTTGCACAATTACACCCTGAAAAAGAGCTGAGATTTGCTGACAGTCTCAGCTGGGATGGAATGGGGGGCAGTGGGGATTTTGGTGGTATGTTGTTAGTGGAGAGAACTGAATTAATTTTCATCCATGTTTTCGTCTGGTGAAGTTTTACAGTAATATTTATGGCTAAACTGCTCCATTCAATATTTTCTTTAATGCAGGAAATATGAAATGTTTTATTAGATTACAGGAAACACTGAATAATGAAATAGGAACTTCCACGATGGAAAGGGAATGAGTTTGTGCATGACTGTGAGTGTGTGCATGAGTGTGTGTGTGAGTGTGTGACTGTGAGTGTGTGTGTGACCTACCTGTGTGTGAGATGAGGGGGTGTTCCGCCCGGTGACAGGGCGACTCAGGCAGCAGCACCGGACCTCTCCTGCCGACCACGCCCCCAGCCCGTAGGACCAGCATGCACTGCAGCAGCAGCACCGCATGCCGGGTAAGGGAGGGGCGACCCATGGGGGGCGGAGCCATGGGGAGGTGGGGCGTCACTTAATTCCTGTTGGGCCGTGAGCTAATCTCATTAGAGACACACCTGTAGAGAGAGAGAGAGGCAACATAAGTTCCTTTAATTTGCTTGCCAAAAAGGCTTTTTGAGGCAGAGAGAACGATGGAGCTGTGAATTTAAGCTGGTAATAATTGGAACTCTTAATAAATCATGAGAGAGTGAGGAAGAGACAGAAAGAGAGCAGGGTAGAGTAAAAGAAAGGAGGAGAGAGAAGACAAAAGAAAAAGCAGAGAAAGCAAAGATAGAAAGTGCTAGAAAAGGAAAGAGGAGAGAGGGAGATAAAGAGAGAGATATGGTTCTAGTGTCAGATTCATGCTGAGCTGAGGTAGCTGCTGTCACATTCACCCTGATGACCCCTGAACTGTAACCTCTTAACACATGAATCAGATCTGCATGCCCTCACACAGCATGAACGTGTGTGTATGTGTGTGTGTACATGACCTTCATGTGGGACACACTACTCCTCATGGGGCCCGTTTAAACGTGGAGCCCATAAAAACACATTCATTTCTGCTCCAAATGGAACTGTTAAAATGTACATACATGGCTATTCCACTCCATGGTCTTGACATCGTGTAGAGAAATCTGTCTCTTTTGAAGGAAAGCTTGATGGTGGAATGTACGGCACTCGTGACTTTCTAATGTAAAGCACCTGTCAAATACTGCCAGTCGAGACCAATTCTTCCCTCCCCTACTCCATAGAAAGAATATCCTCATGGCTTTTAACTTGTCTCCCCTTTAGTGAGAATATTTCCTGAACTCTATATAATAAAACAGTCCAAATGTAAGTTTTCCTACCCTTTTCACAGCCTAGTCTACAGTATCTGACAGCCTAATTAAAATTTCTCTAAAGGAAGGTTTACCTATTATATCAGAAACTGTCAGCACACTTGTCACTTTAGTAATATTTACCCATTATAGCATTTTTCTAGAGTGATGTTTTCTCCCTTTCTGACAGTCTGCACATCATTTGTCGTAAACATTCAAAGAGTGCAGCAAACCTGCAGTCAATTATCTCAAGGCCTGTATTCATAATGTCAGCACGATCACCAACATGACAATATGCACATAGACATAGTATTGATTGACTGCACGATTCCACGTCAGATTTATTGGTCTGACTGAGTGCTGGTGTGTGTGTGTGTTTGTGTGTGTGTGTGTCTGCTGATGCTATCTGTTAGGTGGAGGCCAGAGTATTACTGACACACACACACACAGACACACACACACACACACACACACACCACACACACACACACACACACACACACACACACACACACACACACACACACACACACACACACACACACCCTTATACAGTGCTGAGGCAGCCATGGTTTACAGTGGTTGGGAGGATAAATAAACCATCAGTAATGTTAAGAGATGTATACAGTAATAATACAACCCAGTCTAAATCATTTCTATCCAGGGTGATTGGGTAAACCCGTACTTGATCTCTCTCACAAACACACAACCATAACTCGCACACTGCTTTTCAATGGCATCATCTTCAGAATAAATCTCCTCAAGTACCACTGCATTAGAGACCACACACAGTGTTCCTCCCTAAACAAGATGAACATATGTACAAGGTGATGTGCTTACACTACAGACCATAAATACTAGGGTTTAACCCTGTGTTTTCCTACAGCCAGACAAAAGGACTGTATTAGGATTAATACACTATTTATCACAATTACATTATGTATACAGCTATGGATGTTATGGAAATATAATGGTGGAGAATGCTATTGCCAAGGTCACTAATCTTGCGAGTGTGGTTATAAACCACCTCCATTACACATGGTGTAATTTAACTGATCAATATGTGAGAAAACCAGGGAGGAGCATATTGTCACACCCATATTGATCATGTCTGAGTTTGTCTATGATAGCAATATTACATTGTTAATGATTAGCCTCTGAAATTAACCACAGCTTCGTGGTCAACACGAACGCATGCGAGTTCGCACACGCACGCACGCACGCACGCACACGCACGCACGCACGCACGCACGCACGCACGCACGCACACACACACGCACACACACACACACACACACACACACACACACACACACACACACACACACAAACACACACACACACACACACGCACGCACACACACAGAGTAATGGTCCATCTGTGTAAACAGACAGTAGGGTGTTAGCTGGGGGTCACATCACCATGTTGATAGATGCTGCCTCTCTCCACACCAGACATGTATGCACACACACACACCAGACATGTATGCACACACACACCAGACATGTATGCACACACACACCAGTAGAACAACCCCAGACTTTACTTTACAATCTAAGTTTAGAGGAAAACCAACAAGCAAAGCCTGAAGTGTGTGTTTCTGTGCTTTGACTGTGTTGGTCGGTCAGTTGTCTGTCAGTTAGTCTATAATACTTGAACTATGTGAACTGTGTGTCAGATATGAAGTGTGAGTCAGTGTGATTGTTAAATAATGAGAATGAGAATGGGAGTAAGGATAGTATGATGATATCAGCATCAAGGTCACTGGGTCAGTAAGCAGGCTTTTCAGCTTTTCTCTCTCAAAATGATGTGAGGGCTCAGCGGCTGAATAAATGTTGATTCATTTCTAACAGAAGATTATTATCACAGTCAGATTAGAAAGCTGTTTGGTTGGAACAGGGAATATACACACACTCACACACAGATAGCGGTAAAGAGAAATTCAGGGCTGAGCAAACAGCTATCTCATTGTTCTCTAGACCAGGTGGCGTTTGTGTGTATGTGTTTGTGTGTATGTGTGTATTGTCCCCAGGTGCGTCGGTGTCAGTGTGTAAACATTTACTGTTTTCAGGCCCATAATGCATTCCACCGCCTCCAGCTCCTTATCCCAAACTATATTTCTCCTCAGTCAGACGGAATGCTGCGTGTGTTGATATTTCTCCTCAGTCAGACGGAATGCTGCGTGTGTGCGTGTGTGTTGATATATCCCCCGTGAGTTAGAACATTTCCCATCACAAACCCAACGCTACTAACTTTCAGGATTGCTGCTACCCAATCTGTTCCACAAACAGTATTCCGGCGGAATAAACATTACAGCCACAACATACATCAGCCACTCGAGTGTGGGCTGTCTGTGAATGTGTATGTGTGTCAGCCCCCTAGGAAAACCGCACTGAGATTCCAATCTGTTTGGCTGGCTCTCTGGAGTGGAGGGTTTTAAAACAGAAACGTTCTAGTGAGTGTTCTCTGCTGTGGACAGATGGATGGGGTAAGGAATGAGTAATGAAACACATGGATGGAGGACTGTAGAGGGGCTGTAGAGGGACTGTAAAGGGACTGTAGTGGGACTGTAGCGGGACTGTAGAGGGACTGTAGACAGACTGTAGAGGGACTGTAGAGGGACTGTAGACAGACTGTAGAGGGACTGTAGAGGGGCTGTAGAGGGACTGTAGAGGGGCTGTAGAGGGGCTGTAGAGGGGCTGTAGAGGGACTGTAGAGGGGCTGTAGAGGGACTGTAGAGGGACTGTAGACAGACTGTAGAGGGACTGTAGAGGGGCTGTAGAGGGACTGTAGAGGGGCTGTAGAGGGACTGTAGACAGACTGTAGAGGGACTGTAGAGGGGCTGTAGAGGGGCTGTAGAGGGGCTGTAGAGGGACTGTAAGGACTGTAGACAGACTGTAGAGGACTGTAGAGGGGCTGTAGAGGGACTGTAGACAGACTGTAGAGGGACTGTAGAGGGGCTGTAGAGGGACTGTAGAGGGGCTGTAGAGGACTTAGTAGGGGCTGTAGAGGGGCTGTAATGAGGGACTGTAGAGGGGCTGTAGAGGGGCTGTAAGGGACTGTAGAGGGACTGTAGAGGGCTGTAGAGGGACTGTAGCGACTGTAGGGACTGAGAGGGTGTAGAGGGACTGTAGAGGGGCTGTAGAGGGACTGTAGAGGGGCTGTGTAGAGGCTGTAGACTGTAGAGGGGCTGTAGAGGTACTGTAGAGGGACTGTAGAGGGACTGTAGACAGACTGTAGAGGGAGAAGGGCTGTATAGGGACTGTAGAGGGGCTGTAGAGGGACTGTAGAGGGGCTGTAGAGGGGCTGTAAAGGGGCTGTAGAGGGACTGTTGAGGGACTGTAGACAGACTGTAGAGGGGCTGTAGAGGGACTGTAGAGGGACTGTAGAGGGACTGTAGAGGGGCTGTAGAGGGACTGTAGAGGGGCTGTAGAGGTACTGTAGAGGGGCTGTAGAGGGACTGTAGACAGACTGTAGAGGGGCTGTATAGGGACTGTAGAGGGACTGTAGACAGACTGTAGAGGGACTGTAGAGGGACTGTAGAGGGGCTGTAGAGGGACTGTAGAGGGGCTGTAGAGGGCCTGTAGAGGAGCTGTAGAGGGGCTGTAGAGGGACTGTAGAGGGACTGTAGACGGACTGTAGAGGTAGAGGGGCTGTAGAGGGACTGTAGAGGGACTGTAGAGGGGCTGTAGAGGGACTGTAGAGGGGCTGTAGAGGGACTGTAGACAGACTGTAGAGGGACTGTAGGGAGGCTGTAGAGGGACTGTAGAGGGGCTGTAGAGGGGCTGTAGAGGGACTGTAGAGGGGCTGTAGAGGGACTGTAGACAGACTGTAGAGGGGCTGTATAGGGACTGTAGAGGGACTGTAGACAGACTGTAGAGGGACTGTAGAGGGACTGTAGAGGGGCTGTAGAGGGACTGTAGAGGGGCTGTAGAGGGCCTGTAGAGGAGCTGTAGAGGGGCTGTAGAGGGACTGTAGAGGGGCTGTAGAGGGGCTGTAGAGGGACTGTAGAGGGGCTGTAGAGGGACTGTAGAGGGGCTGTAGAGGGACTGTAGAGGGGCTGTAGAGGTACCGTAGAGGGACTGTAGAGGGACTGTAGACAGACTGTAGAGGGAGAAGGGCTGTATAGGGACTGTAGAAGGGCTGTAGAGGGACTGTAGAGGGGCTGTAGAGGGGCTGTAAAGGGGCTGTAGAGGGACTGTAGAGGGACTGTAGACAGACTGTAGAGGGGCTGTAGAGGGACTGTAGAGGGACTGTAGACAGACTGTAGAGGGACTGTAGAGGGACTGTAGAGGGGCTGTAGAGGGACTGTAGAGGGGCTGTAGAGGGACTGTAGACAGACTGTAGAGGGGCTGTAGAGGGGCTGTAGAGGGACTGTAGAGGGGCTGTAGAGGGGCTGTAGAGGGACTGTAGAGGGACTGTAGAGGGGCTGTAGAGGGACTGTAGACAGACTGTAGAGGTGCTGTAGATGGACTGTGGAGGGGCTGTAGAGGGGCTGTAGAGGGACTGTAGACAGACTGTAGAGGGGCTGTAGAGGGGCTGTAGAGGGACTGTAGAGGGGCTGTAGAGGGGCTGTAGAGGGACTGTAGACAGACTGTAGAGGGGCTGTAGAGGGGCTGTAGAGGGGCTGTAGAGGGACTGTAGAGGGCTGTAGAGGGACTGTAGAGGGACTGTAGCGGGACTGTAGAGGGGCTGTAGAGGGCTTTAGAGGGGCTGTAGAGGGACTGTAGAGGGCTGTAGAGGGGATGTAGAGGGACTGTTGCAAGTGTGTGGTTGGGGGTGAGGGTCAAAAGGAAGCAAAAGGAAGCAACCGTATGCAATGACAATTGTTGGAATATCCAAACATACTGAAACCCTGATGATTACGTAACTACTGTACTTAACTGTACTAAATCTTTGTCTTTGGAGACAAACTCTCTCACACCCACTGTGGTAACAGAATGTGTTGTACAAAGTTCTGAAGGACTCTTGGACTAACCATGAGTTGACTGGCCACAGCCTTGGTCCCATTTAAATCTGATGCACACACAGACGCACGCACGCACACACACACACACACACACACACACACACACACACACACACACACACACACACACACAAACACACACACACACACACAATAAACCCAGCAATTTCAGCTGTGTCCCGCCCTTACTCTCAGAGGTTCCCAAATCCTGCTGTTATTTTTACCCATCGCTCTCAGCCTCCAGCAGTGTGTGTGTGTGTGTGTGTCAGAAAAGGGGATAACAATCACAGTTAGGACTGATGACTGACACTAGACAGAGCAGTCCTTCACCTACAATACAGAGTTGAAGGGTACCTGTAGCAGTGGGGATATATGTTTGAACACACACACACACACACACACACACACACACACACACACACACAAGCAACACACACACACAAGCAAGCAATTACCTGTGTAACCTTGCCCTATGGTTTCTGGAGGTACTCCAGAATGAGACTTGGAGTTAAACCCATTAAATGATGCCTAGGGGATCTGGCTGTATAGAGCATGGCTTTAGAACGGGTGACTCTACTCTACCTCCAACACACACAAACACACACACACACAACACACACACACACACACACACACACACACATACTCCAGAACTACAGTAGGTCGAGGTCAATGTAAAATAAAGCTGTGTACGCAGTTAAGGAGATCTTTAATTAATCAAACTATGAAACCCTGACACGTGATTTTAGATTACTCCTTAGCTGTCAAATCATATCCTGATGTTTTTTTGTGTTTCTAAAGTATTTTCTCTCCTTTTGTGTTTGAGTAACAATGCACATTTCACACAATCTCATTGGTAAACAGAACCTTTAGTTTAAAGAAGTAAAATGCCATTTATATTTATCCACAGATGGCTCACAGGGATCTCTGACATGGGTTTGAAGTATTTCCTCCACAAACTCTCTGATGTTTTCCAGACATTAGAATGCTTAGGAAATGCCTTGGCATCAAAGATCCCTAATCACTTCAAAGACTGACATGTCCATAGACTGACACTAGGAAAGGAGAGAGAGTCATCTGAAAGCTGATCAAGGGAGAGAGAGAGACAAAGAGAGAGGGAGAGAGAGAGGAAAAGAGAGAGGAAAAGAGAGGGAGAGAGAGAGGGAGAGAGAGAGGAGAGAGAGGAAGAGAGGAAGAGAGAGGGAGAGAGAGAGGAAGAGAGAGGGAGAGAGAGAGAGAGAGAGAGAGAGAGAGAGAGGAGAGAGGAGAGAGAGAGAGAGAGAGAGAGAGAGAGAGAGAGAGAGAGAGATGGCCACTACGAAGACACCGAGGAGTCTACACCAACACACATACACGTACACACAAGTTCGTGTTCACAAAGGTATGCACACACTGAATGCACACGCACATTCACTGAGGCTTTTCTGGCACACACTGTGCTTAACACAAAGACTACTTATACAAACTTTCTCATTTGTTCTATTTTTGCTGTCATGGACTGCACTGCTGGAGCTAGAAACACAAGCATTTTGAAAAAAGCATTTGGTTGGGTAGCAAGAAATGTGAATTGCTTTGCTAGCTAGCTAGCTATGCTGAACGATTGTTATCCTGTTAGCATATCTCTTGCATTTGCAAATTCACTCTTGCTAGCTATCTACTCTGATTTCAGAGCACTCCTGTCTGAGTGTGCCAGAGCACAGAATAACTGATTAATTTACAAACGCGCAACACCTGCTGAATATGACCAGTGTCAGTAAACATAGGCAAAAAAAGTAATAGTTAGTCACGAACACTCTAGATAACATGTAAACAGCCTAACCAACTCTCTTAGGGCAAGTAAAATGGTCAGAGTGAGGTGTTCTCTCATTTGTATCTGAAAGTAGCTAGCTAGCAAGCTAGCCAACTTTAGCTAGTTAGCTTGGGTGCTTGGTTGGGACAACACATGCATTGGCAGGCAAGCTGCAGAAGGACGAGCAGGCTATTCCCCATCGTTTATCAGTGCAATTTTGACGACCAACTAGCTGAAAAAGTTTGAGAGGCTTTATCTAATGTCCCTTCGTTAGATTTGAGCTAATCTTGCTCTGGCTAGCATTAGTTGTTGGTCTTGTTGTTGTTGATGTGCATATAGGGAAAGATAGCCTACCTTTTTTATGGTTGTTTGATCAATAGGACTGTAAAGTTCTTAAATGTAAGAGGACTCCTGTGGTATTTAGCTACATATTTGTAGAAATCCATTCAAGTGTATTTTGTGGCTTTTGCCGAATGCGTTCTAATTATCTAAAGTCGCGCTGTTGCAACTGCCTGTAAACACACAGTCCAGTTCAAAGTGAATGATGGCAGGTCTTTGTGGCCTCTGATTGGCTATGGCGCAACGGTCTGCGTAGACTCCGGTCCTGGACGTGCTAGATGTTTGTATGAGGTTTTATTTACTGCAGTGTCTATTAATTGTCCAAACGCACGGCCGCTTTCCCACTCTATGTTGCTATAGAATTTTCATAAATGCCTTAGTATACATAACTCCCAAACATTCTAAGAATTTATGAAAACGTGAAAATGATCATATCTAAGTGGTCTCTTGTCAGAAAGTGTAAACAAGACAGACAATGTGTCCTATACCACAACATTAAGACGGATCAGTCACAACCCATACACTTTAGAGAGTTCTTTATTGTTGCTGTCTGGTGGTGAATAACTTGGACAATGAAATGGGAGCCCTCGGTCGACCAATACCATGATACTCTTTCACCCATCACACACACAAACACACACACACACACACACCTGGTAATGCTGTGATAAGGCACATAAAGCCGTCTGGCGAGGGATGGTGACATTTTTAAGGCTTTAATTACATGGTTGGCTAACGTGAGCCTAGTGGCTCTCTGGCTGGCAGGAAATTACACTATCACACACACGCACGCACACGCACATAACACACGCACACACACACACACACACAGTCTATCAGTGTCTCCAGCTGCAGAGAGAAAGAGGATTCGATCTAAAGTGACACCCCTTTCCTTTCTGTTAGATACAGCATGGACATAGCACCATGGCCTAAGGTGACAGGATATAATTGAAAAGCAGACAGGAGAGCTACCCGGACTGGCCACTGGTGCTACTGTATGTCTCCTTAAAGTTTAGAATAAAGTGTTATTAAAAATGACTTCAGAATGGCAGAACAAGTTTCGACCATTGCTTTGTCCAAGTTTTACCTTTTTGGGAGTAAACATATTAAGTAGAGCAATCTAATCTATTCTTAGCAGAAATGTAACCATGCCACAATAGTTACTTTCTTCAAATCTGCATTTACATTTACATCATTTAGCAGACACTCTTATCCAGAGCGACTTACAAATTGGTGCATTCAACTTATGATAGCCAGTGGGACAACCACTTTGTTTAAATCATTTCTTTATGGGGGGAATGGGGGAGGGGGGGTAGAAGGATTACTTTTATACTATTCCAGGTATTCCTTATAGAGGTAGGGTTTCAATTGTCTCCGGAAGGTGGTCAGTGACTCCGCTGTCCTAGCGTCGTGGGGGAGCTTGTTCCACCATTGGGGTGCCAGAGCAGCAAATAGCTTTGACTGGGCTGAGCGAGAACTGTGCTTCCGTAGAGGTAGGGGGGCTAGCAGGCCAGAGGTGGATGAACTTAGTGCCCTCGTTTGGGTGTAGGGTCTGATCAGAGCCTGAAGGTAAGGAGGTGCCGTTCCCCTCACAGCTCCGTAGGCAAGCACCATGGTCTTGTAGTAGATGCGAGCCTGAACTGGAAGCCAGTGGAGTGTGCGGAGGAGCGGGGTGACATGAGAGAACTTGGGAAGGTTGAACACCAGACGGGCTGCAGCGTTCTGGATAAGTTGTAGGTGTTTAATGGCACAGGCAGGGAGCCCAGCCAACAGCGAGTTGCAGTAATCCAGACGGGAGATGACAAGTGCCTGGATTAGGACCTGTGCCGCTTTCTGTGTAAGGTAGGGTCGTACTCTGTGATCCTCATACTGCATGACAGCAAAGCAAGAAGCAACAGCTGTGTATAAACAACAGCCAAGACATTTTAGCAGACGCTCTTATCCAGAGCAATTTACAGGAGGAATTAGGGTTAAGTGCCTTGCTCAAGACTAGTCGGCTCGGGGATTCGAAACAGCAACCTTTCGGTTACAGGCCCAACACCTTTAACCACTAGGCTACCTGCCGCCCTACAAGATGCTGTAAATTGCCAGCTGAAAAACTAAGTTCTCATCGCCAGTACTGTACACATCAATTAGAGAGCAGGAAAAGTTAACCAACTTCCTGGTTCAATGAAACCAAGATAATAATCTTCCAGAGACTCCTCTAAGAGAAGTGAGAAGAGATGTAAGTTAAGGACTTATACATCTCTGGTGATGAGGACACTTATGCTACACTGCCAAATCATGAGAATATGTTGTAACACACAAAATCGCCCACTTGTCTACACACACAGATAATAACACGTTGACAAACCCCAACTCCAACATAATTATATTCCCCAAAACATAACTCTCTGACTGTCTCCACACTAGTCCCACACAAAGGGGGAATGAGGCTTACTGTACATTTATATTATTTTACCTTTATTTTACCGGGCAGGTCAATTAAGAACAAATTCTTATTTACAATGACAGCCTGGCAGTATGAGGATCATAAGGCATCTGAAAGCCTTGAGCAGCCCTGATGTGGCATGATACTAAGACGATGTGGAGGGTGGGATCCTAAATAAGCATTTGGCACTAGTGGAACCAATTAATCACCCTATGTGTGTGTGTGTGTGTGTGTGTGTGTGTGTGTGTGTGTGTGTGTGTGTGTGTGTGTGTGTGTGTGTGTGTGTGTGTGTGTGTGCGTGTGCGTGCGAGCGAGCGCGGAGGATATAATTTGTCCTGTTAAAATACAGACAGGCACAATAGCGCAGAGTGATGGAGTGAGAAAGATAATGAGAAGGAGAGAGATGGAGGGAGAGTCACAGACGAGATGGGAGAGAGGTCTCAACAGGACAGAGACTAAGTAGCGCGTGTGGGTGTTCTCCTCAGGACATGAGGAGACCGTGAAGGAGAGGAGAGGAATCGAGACAGAGCCTAGAGGCATCCGATCTGATCACGTCCCAACTAGACCGGAGAAAACAGATGTAGAGGACTTTTTTTGTCTCCTGGTAGCTGGTGTGTATGTGTGTGTGTGTGTGTGCGTGTGCGCGCGTGTGAGTGTGCCTGCGTGTCTGCCTGCATGGGGTTGTCTGATGAGTGGGAGATCTGGAAGAGTATGAAAGCAGTTTGGTGAATTGTTTTCCACAGACAAGGATTTGGTTAAGTCAGGATTGTACTTTTTCTAATCATAGCCTGGTGTCTGACTTCTGCCCTAGTCTCAACCCTTAGGCACTTCTTGTAACTAGATCTGAAAGGATTGAGTATAGGCATAAGCAAGCTGGAGAATAATTCCTCCCAGCCTACCATATAAAGTAATTACAATATTCCTCATCTCTTCCTCTCAGATCTGGAAGACGTGCCTTGGGCCAAGGGGGTATAGGGACTGGCATTGGGCATTTTACTCCTAATTGGCCAACTAAGAAAAGAGGACCAGATCCTTTGATCTGAGCGCCACCTCCCTCCCTTCTCTCTGCTCCCTGCTAGGATGGATAGAAACAGTGCAGATAATGAGCAGGATCTGAATCTCAATGTACCCCTAGTTAAAGTAAGAGCAGTGTCACATTGCTCATTTGTAGAGTCCCAAACCTTGCAGGTTTCTTTGGGCGTAGGTTGCACATTTAGGCTTGAATTCTATCTTGAGTAAAGCTTGTGTAGCTAAAATCTGTAAAGTCAATTGTTTAAGTGAATGCTTTGAACTGAGCATGTGTATCACAAGTTTGACCTCTGTCCTAAGAGAACCTGTACAAAGAGGGACAAAGGTTCAATCCGATGTGATGTGCCATGAAACAAGTAGCCAAGAGACCACACAACACATAGAAATCTTGACCAATATACTCTCTGTGAGTTATCTGCTTCTTCCTCATTTCAGTCTTCTGAGAGTATATTAGAGGAAGTTCATTAAAGGAGGAGGAAGAGGAGGAAGGGGGAAGAAAGGGGGAGGAGAAGGAGGACGAGGAGTCTGACCCATATTCACAGTAAATAACACATGATTTCCCTACTGTGTCCTCTGAGACATCTCTTAATAATGACACACTAATTATCTCTCTATCTCTCCTAAGCCAGTCTTAAAGTACAGTAGGGTTAGAGATGCAAAATGGCTGCCTTACTAACAAGCTCATTTACATCCCTGAGAGGAGAGTAAATAAATCAGATAATATGCCATTGCAGCGTCTTTGAAATTCAACACGTTTAGAAAAGCACATTTCTTAGAACACCAAGGCTTGGTGATTATGATACTATAGGGAGATGGTAATTGTGTTTCTTTTCCTCCTTTCTAAGAGCTGATGTATTCTTCCCCAGAGAGAAAGCAGAGTGTTTTTGAAGTATCACAACAAACCAATTTCTCCTTCCACAGACCTATACCTATGCTGTGTGAAGGGTAAACCATGAAACGGTACAACATTAATGTGAAAAAACAAGGAAAACGTATCGCTGTAGTTTTTGAATAACTAAATAATGTAGAACCTGATGAAGCACTGTAGGCCTACAACGAGGGGTGGTGATGGATTGAAAACGAATAGATAAAATAATCTCAATAAAAGAGGTCCGCTCATCTTTAATAAGAGATTGTTAGAACTAGCCTATAGCGAGATGGTTAGGGTCCACTCATGGGCAACAACCTCCTGACACCTGTCTGTAGATGTTAGATCATGTTCGGCTTTAAAGATCTCCAATGGGATTTCCTTCAGGGAGAACCTTCAAACATGGACGTTTGTTTATGCTGTCTATCTTTTGTTTTATAGATGTATTCTGTATGCTCATCTTCGCAATGCTGCAACCAAAGTGACCAGCGATGGGAACATAAATATTTACATCATAGTCAAACCATATAGATACAGAACTGTTGATGGGGAAGTACATCCTACACCTTGTATTTACAGTGTTAACACCAGAGTAGTTTAAGTACCCTTAACAACCTACGCTTCAATTAACACTACACAGTTAAAAACCTACACTTCAGCCAACATCACACCCAGCCACACTGTCAGCGTCTAAAAGCTCCAGACCACACGCCCTGCGCCCTCATGTCCCCATCATTATCTATGTTAACATCAATGACAGTCATTACTGACACGCTAAGGTCATCAGAGGTACCTGTCTGTCCTTCTCACAGCTCGTTAGCCAGTGCTACAAAGCCATCGCTACAGAGGAAAGGTTGTCTTTGAACGCTGGCTAGCAGGAACATCAGTGTAAATGTCAATCTGAAGGTCAACTGACTGGGGGAAGTTGGGGAGAGAGGTGATAAGGGACACAGTTAAGTGGAGTGTGATGTTTGTGCCCGAATTGAGTGAAAATGCCCTAAGTGAGCACAGATGGGAAAAATAAATGATTCTTAAACAGAATTCATTTGAGTTTGTTTCTAAATGTTTGTGGTGTGTGTAAAGATAGCCACTTGTAATTACAGAATTGGCAAAAACCGATATCACTGTTGTAAAGTGCCATGTAACTTCACGTTTCAAGAGCCGATCCAAGAAGCTTTGATGGAATACGAAGTTGAGGAGAAGTTGACTGTAGATATTAATAACCAAACAATCAATAGAAATTCTATTTCCATCCACCGTCAGGATTTTGAGGACAGAAAGCATCTATCGAACGTTAGAGTGAGAGAAAAAAATGAAACCCAAGGTGATTTCTTAAGAGAGTAGGGTTATTAATGTTTTCGCCTCAGGCAGTTCACATACCACCCTTATCTAATCAGGACCCACTATAACGCATCACTTCCGATCTGTCTGATCAATCCCAAACTCCCCCTGACACAGGAAACATCAGACAGACAGATAAACCTAAACCTTTAATATACTGTACTGGAGAGTAGTGAATCATCTACATCAGAAACTCACAGAGAGACTGCACACACACATGAACGCACTAGCACACACACAGCCACACACACACACACACACACACACACACACAGCCACACACACACATACACACAAACAAACACACACACACACACACACACAGCCACACACACACACAGCCACACACACACACACACACACAGCCAAACACACACACACACACACTTGAGAGCCTGGAGCAGGGTTGCTAAACAACACTCGCATGATGACAGACTTTAGGCTTCAAACTCATATCATTAATAGAGCCTTTTAAAGATTAGGCTAAATGTTGTGAATATTTTATTGCTTTTAAACAGCAGACAGCTAATAGCAGGTCTTCAGGGTACAACAGAACTTGTCAAAAATAAAGGCAACATGAAACAAGATTCTCCTAATTGAACTAAATGCATGTTGTACAAATTACAAAGCTCTGTGATAATTTGCCTGCGACGCCTCCCTACACAGACAGACACAGACATTCAACTCAACTGGGATGAGAGAGAAGGAAAGGGTGGAGAGAGGGAGAGAAAGCGCAAGAGACAGAGAGAGAGGAGAGAGAGAGAGAGAGAGAGAGAGAGAGAGAGAGAGAGAGAGAGAGAGAGAGAGAGAGAGAGAGAGAGAGAGAGAGAGAGAGAGAGAGACAAACAGAGAGAGTGAGACAAACAGAGAGAAAAGATAAAGAGGAAAGACATTCAGTGAATGGGTGTAACATGTCCTGTCTGTATGTGAGACACGCTAGATAACAATCCCCTGTAAATCCTTTACAAAACTGATTACAAGGCTTCTGTCTGTCTGTCTGGGCCAGATCAACCCCAACAGCATATCAAACCGTGTAGCACAGCTGTAAACTACTGCTATACATAGCAGTTAGTCTGTGTTTTATTGCCTTTCAGACAACAAAACGATGTAGTCAGTGTGTGTGTGTGTGTGTGTGTGTGTGTGTGTGTGTGTGTGTGTGTGTGTGTGTGTGTGTGTGTGTGTGTGTGCGTCAGTGTTCTGATCCTAAACCCGGACTACGCCAGGTGTTTGAGTGTCCCAGGGCTTTGTATTGCTGTCTGATGAGACCAGAGAGAAATGTCAACACATCCCAAATCAACAACAACTTCTGAAGACTTCTCTTCTGCCCAATCTGACAGTGTTCGTCACTCCCGGTCCTGTGGGGGCTTTTGTTCTAGCCCAGCATTAACACACTTGATTCAGCACTTGGTTCAGCCAATTAAGGTCTTGATGAGTAGCTGATTGGTTGAGCCAGGTGTGTTGGTGCTGGGCTGGAACAAACACTCCCACACCTTGGGGGTCTACCAGACCACACATATCACCACAACTGAACAATTCTGTCAAAACACCACACAGCTAAATCAACACAAACCCTAAATGAAGATGTGTGCGTGTGGTGGTATGGCATGTGTCTACATTTCGTCAGGTCTAATTTTGTCTCCCTGCTAAATATACATTCCAGTCCGGCCCAGCCGACCTAATCAGCGATGCCTTTGATGCTATGCTTCCCTTCAAAGGAAGATGCCATCACTTTCAACTCTAACTCCAATATATTCATTCAACATCTATCTTTAGCATGTACTGCCCCATATTGCAAAAAAAAAGAAGCTTCTCTCGACAATGTATATTCATGAGAGTCGAACTACAACACACCTGGGTCTCAAGACTATTCTCTTCCTCTTTCCCACTATATCTCTTGTTCTCCCCTCCCTTTCTCTTCTTCTCTCTATCTCTCTTTCTGTCTCTGTCTTTCTCATTCTCTCTCTTTCTCTCTGTCTCTTTCTCTCCCGGCCTTGTCGACTGACCTAAATCTCCCTAGATTATGCCATATATTAATTTGGAAAATAACTCCAAGTACCCGTCATATACTGATTAGTAACTCATACCCTCTGACCCTGGCTTCTCTTTTGATGTGTGGTCTTTAGGTAGGAGAGAGGGGGAGAGAGGGAGGAGAAGGGCCAGGTGTAAGAGGGGGAGAAGAGATGGGGGAGGAGAGGAGAAGATGTGACTGGTGGAGTAGTAAAGGAGTATGAGATGGCAGGCAAAGAGGGGAGATGAGAAGGAGAGGTGAGGAGAGGAGGCAGGGGGTGAGGAGAGGAGGCAG